ATTGTGTGGAACTTTGCGTTTAAAGTTTGAAAACGTTGAACCCTCCAAAAACTTGGCGTTTAAAGTTCCAAAACGTTGAACCCTCTGAAACTCGAACCTCGGTAAGTTCGCGCGGCATCCCCATTTTCGAGCCTTCTCTCCAGAAGCGCGGTCGACGGAGGTACGAAGTTCGCGCTGGAGGCGGGACAACTGACACCCCCTGCCATTCTCAAGCTGTCAGGGTCTAAACAGCTAGCCCTTGATCGAAAGGCTGGCAAACGGCAGGTTTCAAGAATCAAACGGGCTTTCTTTGACATAGTCGGGGGATGCCTGGTTGCAATCGATTCCGTCGATCCCACCGGGGCAGGCGGTTGCGTGGCGTCTCCCCACTTCCGGAACCTTGGGACGCTCCTTTCCTCGGGCTGGTCCCGGGGCCTCGCTGGGGCACGTGTCGGCCTTCTATTTTGGGAGGCGTCCTTCCTCTACTCGCGGAGTAATAGCCCTCGGACTGCTCGTAAGAAGTAGTATTACAACCTACGTCTATCTCCCTCTCTCTCTCTTGTATGAAACGGTTAATAATGAGGGTGGTTCCAAGATGGCTGGGTGGGTAGTTTGTTATTCTCCAGACGTGAATGTGCTACGCCCAAGAAATGTGGATAACAGGGAGGAAAACTAATACCTTGATTTTTCTTTTAAGTTAAATACCAAAAAAAAAAAAAAAAGAAGGGGGGGGGGGGGGTTATCTGCTGGAATCTGAAAAATTCGGTACGACACGTAACTAGATATGCGTTGATGAAAAAAAAAAAAAAAAGATGTCAGTCTCCGCTGATATTGTGAGAGCAATTGGTACTTATTTCGTAGTATTCGGTACCTTCCAGTTGGCGGTTCGTCTGTAACTGTATACTTTGTCTAACCGCAACTACTACAAGTACGAGCGTGTAGCTTTGCCTCGTGCTCCCGCTGCGCGATAGCTCGCGCAGCCTCGGTGAGACCAAAGGCAGGGAGCTCGCGCCCTTCCCGTCTATACACCGTTTCAGGTGAAGCGCAGACGCAGCCGATGCTACAAGCGCGAGCTCCGTTCTTTCAGCGTCCCCGCCAAGCACGCGCGCTCGTGCAGTGCAAGCACTGTTTTAGGCCACGTGCTCGCGCTTGTGACATCAGTTGCGTCTGGACTTCAGCTGAAACGAAGTATATCCCGCTCTGAAGAGAGAGGCGGCTCTAACAGTGGCGGTTTGTGCGCGTGCGTGCGAGGCTGCACGTGAGCGTGCGTGCGTGTCGGCGGACGCGAGCCTGCCCCCCGAGCGGCGGCGGCAGTGCGGAGCGGCGCTCCTCTGGGCTGTTGCTAGGGCGGCCGTCGGCGTCGACCTTTGCGGCCTCGGCGATCCGTCGCTCGAGCACGTAGGCTGCAACGCTCCGGCGTCCGCCTCCGTTGCGCTCTGCCGCCTGCCCCGGGACGTTTCTCTTACAGGAATACTCGTCTGTCCCGCGTGTCTACCGAAGCTTGTCCGGTTCCGCAGCCGCCGAGAATTACGCGAGCACAACTTTTAAAAATTAATTTCTATTTTTTTTTTTTTTTTTTTTTTTTTTGCTAGGTCTTCAGGTCCGCAAAGAAATATCTGTATTTTTTACTTTTTTTTTTTTGTACGCTGATTTTCATGAAAGGACAGCAACGCTGAACCGTCGTTGCACGTTGGTTCGAGTTATGCCAAGCATATAAACCGGGAGGGGCTGTAATTAAACCACGAACGCGTGAATACTCGCGACGCGTGCATTGAACTTGGAACCGAGTGATTCCCAGCCGGAGGTCCCACGGAGCTAGGCTGAGCATTTTTCTTTCTTTATCGTAACTAAGCTGAGCAGGTGCGTGGGAGGAGCGCACAGTTGTTTCGTGAAGTGAAACAAGATACACCAGGACAAATGGGCAACACTGGCGCTATCTATACCGGGTCCCCCGGAATGCCTGCGTATGACTAGATCGACTGAAGGTCTCGTACTATTTGCGAGATTAAATCTGTCTGTGAAAAATGGTCGCTTATAACATCGTTGGAATTGTTTCAAATCCGTCGCAAAAAATGATGCAAAAGAAAAAAGGAAACTAAACAGATGAGAGGCGTTCCACAGCTGTGCGATAGATGGCGCCGGCCAGTTATCTCGTCTGTATCTGTACACTCCCCTCCACCGTCACACGGATTGTAACTTTCGATTGTGGTGAATGGTATAACCTGTTCGATTTAGAATCCTTGGCATAGGTGGCGCAAGCCGCCGCCCCATTAAAAGGGTTCAGGGGTATCCGTCTATCCATCCATTGTCGTAAGTTTCCACAAGACCGCTTATGACGACGGTGGGTTTTATTGAGGTATTGAAGTCAGAGTGTTTTTCTAATAAACTTTCGGTTGCGAGTGCGCTTCGTGTTGTCGTTACCTTCTTCGCTTTGCCCCTGTCCTTCGGCGCTTCCATCCAAGCATGAACCAACTGAACTTATAGTTCACAAGAGATTACAACACAGTCGGTCACTCAAACGGAAATGTCTGAATTAGAGCCACCACGTCAGCTATGCTTCAGAGAACGATAATTCGACCGTTTCTGCGCCTAAAATCATTGATACCAAGGCATCTGAAGCTTTACCTCAAATCGCAGGAAGTGATTTTCCCTCCTCTAGAAATGCTAAAGCGGTTGGTGACGATGTCGTTTGAGCTTTCTACGAGCTCCCGTAACTATTGCCGATTGTGACCGCTCTGCACTATGCACCGAAATGACGGCGCCCACAGGCAAATACGGTAATGAAATGCCGTATATGCTAAGCTCGTTAAGAGAGTTTTGGTATAGCGTTCCGATAGCTCCGATAAGGATATCCGATAACGACGCGATGCATGCGCAAAATGTGGCGGCGGAGTATCGGCTATTGTTATCGGAGTCAGCGGAACGATCGCCTAAATGTCTCTATTTGCTGACTCTGTAGTCTGAACTAAGGTCACCGGATCCTTGAAAAGTAGCGCCAAGCTCCCCCTATGGTCGCCATTTTCGCTCATGAAATGAGCAATATCTCCCTGAACTCTCTGTTTTTGGTGAGCCAATCTAAATTCGCTGGTAGCGGCTAGCTTTCTAGAGACGTTTCTTGTATACCGTGATTTTGCTAGCCACGCAGTGTCGGAACAAACGCACACCTTCGTACCGCCACCACATGAGGTGTCGGGGCTTGGAGGCATTGAAAAATAATTTTATCTTCTATAGTCGGTTACAAGTCAAGAAGGTAGGAGAAGCTCCTCCCACAAGTGTGATGCGCCCGCTTCAAATCTCTCCGCAGTCGAAAGAAGAGTTCACTGGAAACGCTCCTTGTTCCGCTTCAATGGATTCCCACTTGTCTCCGATCCCACTTTTTAAAGGACAACTCCGCTCAATTCCAGGAATTTCGGGGGTTTTGGTGATTATACATTAAGATATACTAATAAACGGCTCGACGTCGTTTGTTTCTCAAAAAAGGAAATATAATTCTCGTAATCCTTCTTTACTCCTGATCACGAACCGAAACCGAAACTGCGCCCGCGCCTGGCAACATTGGTCCCGCGTCGTCATAGTCTGGGACAACCCACGTGGTACGAACGTCACCGCACGACCTCGCCGACCGCGCGGACGGACGGATCGGCGGAGCAAGCGTCGCCGCGCCGTGTCGTCTGCTCCACGGTCTTTGCTATCCAACGACGTGTGCACTACCGCGGCCGCAGAGTGTTTTGACGCAGAAAAAGGCAAGTTATTTTAAAGTTATGTTTTGGAACCATTAGTAGTTGAAGTTAAGTAAATCACTCGTAATATGCCAGGCATCGCAGCACAAAACGTTGCTCCGAGACGCAGCAGGTTCGGTCTTCCCGACGACGAGCGCGGAGCGCTCGCTCAGGCGCTCATCAGCGCATGCGCGTTTTGGATCACGTGGACATCGGTATGCACGCTGTTGGCGCCGCCTGTAGGCTGCGCCTCAATAAAGTAAAAAACAAGAAGAAAGGCGGTCCCAGACTATGACGTGCGGCGCAGTGTTGGCTGTGCCAACACGCGGTATTGACTGCGCTGTTCTCTTCGCCGCACATCGGCCGCTAGAATTAGCAGATTTCGGAGACTTGAGGCATCTCAAACTTTGTTTACCAGTTTAACAAACTTTTAGGCTTAATTACGTCGTAAAACTTAACGTGTAGTCTTTCTAGGTGATACTAAAGAGAACTGCGTCATTTTTTCAGCATCGAAAATGAAGCGGAGTTGCCCTTTAAGAAAGCGACCTTTGTATTCATCGTAGAGGGAACCGAGCCCCTGAAAGCAGCCTTTGTATCCATCGGGGGGGAAGCTAATCCCCGAAAGTCGCATTTGTTTCCATCGGTGGGGCAGAACTCTAATCTCCCTCTCGTGGCTTCCACAGTGCTAAGTCAGATTCGAAAAATAAAGCAAATATGTACAGAAAGGCAAGACCCTCCTCGCGCGTTGGCCGCAACGTCACGGAAACGGTGGGACGCTATTGGATGCGGAGGTGGCGGAGGGATATCCGATTCCCTTTGAGGGGCATTTGCCGCTACCTTCTTGACCTGTAACTGACTATAGTACGCAAGACGAACAATATCATTGTAAGATATCCGTGGAGATGTGCGTGGTTGATAAGTTGATTGCATACACAGCGCCCAAGAAGTTTATATTTGCGAGGAGCGCCTTCAGTGCGCTGTTTCTCCATGGCGATCTTAGGACGACCGTTTTCTAACGGCCCCTCTCGAAGCTTCGAATTAAGGGGGCCGAAATGGCGATTGCCATGGCAACGGACACGGATCAGCCAATCACCTGCCGAAGTTTTGGTAGCCTGTATGTTAGTATCTGTTTCTGTCCGGCTGGCAAGCAGGGAAGACACTGGCTCTACTTTCCCTGGATTCATGTGACCTTTGTCTGAAGGAACTTTTTGGGTCTTGTGCCCCACTTTCGTGTCTTGGGTCGCCCATGTCGCTGTGTCTGTGGCGGCCTTGTTGCTGAACTGGCGCCGTGTTCCGTTTCAGAGTGCTGTTGCTGCTTCCACGGCCCGTGCGCGGCCTTCAGCGTGCTGCACCCGTGCCAGCCGGCTGCTGGTTCGGACCGCCAGGCCGTCTTCTACACGCACAGCGTGGTGAGTTGCCGTGTGCCAACGGTTGGCCGCCGTCACACGCAGTAGATGGCGCCAGCCGCCGCCCGATTTAAATGGTTCAGCCGTATGCTTCCATCCATTCGACTGCGCTTAATACCTCAAATTAGTGCCCATTTTTTTTACCCTTTTAAGTGAGCGCGTTGGTATGTTGTAAAAGCTTATTTATATATAGGGCAGAACACGAACAGCACTGCGTGTCATTTTATCTCTGACGGCTAGGCAGGCGAGCTGATTGTTGTTAAACGACATAATAAAAAAAATACTCAAAACCCGAGATGGAGGCAAAAAGTAGGGACGAAGTCAACGTCTCAAATTGAGACGTATTTTTTGTCCTTCCTTTTCACCTCCATGGCGAGCTTCCTACTGCACACACACGCAAGACTAAAACCGCAACGTCACGGCGCGCTTTTTCTTTCTTCAGTTGGATTAGGCCGCCATGACACACCCGCGCAGGAATGCCGAACGCAGTGACGTTGCGCTTTCGGCGCCGATGGATTGATGGCATCGGCTCCTATTCTCGACAGCGCTCCTCCACTAGCAAGGTCGCAGCTCTCTGCTTTCTACGTCACGTACGAGGGGGCCAACGCGGATTGGGCACGAATTTTGCGTCGACGTTCGACCGGGACCTCGTGTCCAATCGAATGCGTCGGGCCCCGTCGCCGAATGGGCGCCATTCTAAGGTTACGATGTTCGATGGAGGTAGGTAGTCCTCGCGCAGTCTTCGATTACTGGACACACCCCGCTTCACCTTGACGTCGGTGCGTCTCAAAACGCAAGGTCATTCACTGCGCTTGATTGACTTACCGGATGACAGCTCACACACGTGGAAATACGATTGCCGTGACGCTGCATTTTTGTCGCCGCTCGATCGAACCCATTAGCTCGTAGCGTCGTCTTCTGGCTCCTCGCGTGTGACGTGGAGAATGGAGCGTTTTTGGCCTTGCCATTTACGAGGTGTTGGTTCACCGCGACCCGCCATTCCGATGTCGGCGCGTGCGAGTTTCAGCCCCCCCTCTCGCGGTTTGACAGATGACGGAGTCGGTGCGTGCCGCGGCCTTGTGGCACGGAGCGGCCCTCTCTCTCTCCGGGCGAAGAAGAAGCCTCCAAAATAATCGATGACAAGTGCGCCCGCAGAAAATAACCTGGGCGCGTGCCGAGTTGGGTGCCACTGGGCGCACCGCTTTCCGCCTGTACGCTGGTGTGACTGACCGGGCCGGAATGCGCCCCCTCCTCCCCTCCTCCTTCTCGCCCGGGCTTCATGCCGCACCGTTCGGATCACTCGCACGCGGCTCCAGCCAGCGAATATATCCCCGCCGTGATACACTTCGTTTTATCCAGCGAGCTCCGGCGCTCTACGGCGAGAAGATGAGGGAGAGGAGGCGACGAGGGCGCTCGGTGTCGTCACAACGCCTACATCTGACTGGAAGGGTCGACTCGACGCAGAGGCGCCTTTGTCTTTACTCGGTGTTTGAACGCCAGCGTCCGGAGCTGGAACTACGCGAGGTACAGTGCGAGGAGCAGACGGCGCTCTTTCTCGCTCTGATTGGAAGGAGACATTGGACAGACAGCTAGCCTTTGCTCAGTAATCAGTTAGGCGTGGATGATTTCACCCATAGCCTCCTATGTACTGACAAAGCCGGGCAGGTGGCCACGAGAAGCGGCCGCCGAAGTGGAAAAGGTGGAGCGGCAGGCAACGGATGAGAGCAGAGCCACGTGACTGGCGCCGCGCTGCGGCGAGACGCTGAACCACACTTCTCCCGAGTGAACAAGTGTGTTTCGGGTACTTGCCGATGCAAGAGCTGTGTGCTGACGTCCCGGTTCCTTGAGAAATGGTTCCTTGATGCTCTGTGCTCTCGCGCTCCAAATCTACTTCCGGGCCCTGTATGGCTCCGTCGTCGAACTGCCAGGCTTTGTGGTGTATACAGGAGGCTATGTTTCACCCCTAATGCGACCTGACTATGCCGTTCCTGCTTCGTCACCGCCGTCACGTGACACTTGGCAGCGTATATTTCGGAACTCTCTGTCGAATGCCACCTGGAGCTGGGATTTTTTTCAAATACTAGAGAGGCATACAGCGTGAATTACAGCGTTTTGCTACTCGAACCAAACCCCGGACACTGGCACTGCAGTCGGGGAGGCATTTTCTCCACGAGCGCGCATCCTTTCATTTATCGCAGTCCACAGTAAGCCGCCGTCTGCTAGCTCAGTCCCAAGCTTCTTCAGCGCGTCATTTTGTATTCCGTTGGCGCCGTGTAAACGTTCCCACGGGCGAGGACAAGAAACTAAATGGCTTGGTCTAGTCTCGCTTGAGCGCGGGCAGGCATTTTCTCCATTCTCTGTTTCTCTACGGTTTGGACGGTTTCAAATATCTCGCTGGCGGCTTTATATATGACATTCGCGCTTCCTCCTTATCTGCGTGTGAACAACTTCCGCGCGAAGGTTGACGTTCCTATGCGGTGGCGATTATTTATTCGATACCCCAACGGCGTGCGCGTGATCCCCTTTCCTCTTCTTCCCATTTCGGCCGCCAGGCCGCAACAATATGCGCTTGGATGGGCGGTAGTTCCCTCGCTTCTTTCCTTCGTGTCTTTTCCGCTAGGTGGCGTATCCTCCTCTGGAGTTGGGATGGGCTAGGTGGCGTAAGCTACCGCCCGATCCAAAGGGCTCAGCCGTATTCATCCATCCATCCATCTATTGCGGTAGAGAGATTAGGTACAGGTTAACTGTTGCAATTACTAGTCTGCTGACATCGGCTACACCAATCTCGCTCTCTTGCCGCGTGTTTTTATAATTTGCGCGATTGGTTTATCTGTGGGTATGAAGCCCGCAGAGACGACGAAGCGCCGCGATGGTGCAGTTTTGCCGCTCCTCGGTCGGCTCCGTCGTATGTAGCCTTGGCTGCGGTCGGGCCCCAATGTGAAACGTATCTGGCGTTGCGGACGGCTTCCTTATCGCGCCTCTCGAAGCCGTCGGAAAGAGAAATGTTGGCTCTGCTAATCTCGTTGGATGCGCGGCGCAGTAGCTGCTGCAGGCGTCGCGTCCTCCGCGTGGGCGCAGCAGGTGCCTTTTTCTTGTCGAGCAGCAGCAGTCGTCTGCTCGGCCAGAAGGGCTGCGGGGGTTCACAGACCTCACGCGGGCCGTAACGTAGTCGGCGGGCGCGACGACTAGCCTTTCTCGGGCGTTCGACGTAGTACTGCCAGACAAAGGAACAAAGAGCAGGCTTAGGACTGAAAAGTCGGCAGTGCTACCGGCGGTGGGTGTGTGCACAGCCACCTGAAGAACCGTAGTAAAAAAAAAAAGTCTTGCTCCACGCGGAGTGTTACTAATTCCCCCCCATGACGTCAATAATCAAGATATGTCTAGGTGCATTTCAGATTAGGTGTATGGTACCTTATCAGGACGTACGCCCTTCAAAAGCCAAAAGCATCGCTTCTTCCTCCCACAACCAAATCCCGTAAGAGCTACTTCGCGCGGCGTATAAACAGTGCGCAAAACTTTAATGAAAGGATGATGAATACAGCAGGGTGGCGGTTCTTTGGAAGAGCGGGCGCTCGCTGCCTTCCACCGTGCTTCGACTGCGCGCGCACGCTCCCGGGTTGCCGCCGCTGTCTAAGGTGGAGGCGGGACAACTGGAACTCTCTTGCCTGCTATAGTGACTGTAGTCGGGCGTGTTTCGGCGAACGTCGGAGACGGCGCCTACCAACCCCGTACGGGTTGCGAAACCGGGGATTTCGCCAGCGCGACCTTCGATCCGAGGAGTGTCTCCTCTTTGCGCCGGCCAGACATTTTTTTATGTCCGCTATTTTCGTTTTTTGTTCTTTTCTTCCTCGCCGCGAAGGGGCGGTAACCTCGTAGTGGATCGAAAGGGTGGACGAAAAACGCTCGCGCAATCTCAGAAGTATAGACCGTTTCGCCTTACGATGGGGACGCGACGTGCTGCCCCATCAAATCGGTCGCATGACGCTCGCGCGGTCTTTGATCAGTTACGTTGGCTCGTATATTGCGGTCTATCGTTAAGGGGAAAGGGGTACGATATTCGTCGGTCCACGGTTTGCATTCGGGGGAAAAAGAAAGGCATATTTCAAAGTCGGACGCTTCGGAAAATCGCGTGGTTCGTCACGGGCCGAGGAAGATGCGCCTTCACGGAGATGCTGTACTTCTGTGTTGGAAAAAGTAGAAAAGGAAGATAACTGCGAGCTGAGAGGGAGAACATCTCGAGGCCGCCGCGTTGCCTCGGCGGCCACTTTCCCCTGCCGCGGTTTCTTTCCTCCAAGGTCGTCGCGTTCCCACTATTCCGGGGACGGAGAGAAAGGGGTGATTTATGATGTCGGCTTCCCCGCGCGCTTCACGAAGCTGCGCGCACACGCCACGCAAGACCGCTTTGTGTCGCGTGCCTGCCGCATCATCCGGCCGGGCCTACGCCGCGTACAATGGTCCAAGCCCGTTATCCATCTACTCCGTTTCAAGTCCGACCGGAGCTGATGCCGAGATCCAGTGGAGCCCAGCGGGCAACACCAAAACTGCACCGTCACGGCGCTTCTGGTCTGCGTGCAACGCCGTCGAAACCAATCGCACGCAATCACTGTGTATGACTGATTTAGTTGGTGAAGGCAAAGACACACAGATGATGAGGATCGCAGCCGAAATATTACGTCGAAGTGGAGCCGCGTACTCCACTGGAACCGGATTTTAAAGATTCTCACTGAAATTTGAGATTCTCGCAATCTCAAATTCACAAAAATATTGACCTTTGAGTGGAACGGAATGTAAGAAGGGTGCGTGTGTCTACACTTTCCGAGCGATGATCATCCCTGCCAAAAATGCCCAGTCGCGGTGCTGTGGCCTCGTGCTCTGTGCTGCGCGTGCTCAAAAACGCATTCCACAACTTATTAAAAAAAAGAAAAGTGGCATCACGCAGTTGTCGATTTCATGACTGTGGTCCGTAGTCCTGTCGTCTGGCCGCAGTGATGAAGTCAACGAACGGCGTGGAAAGAGCAGTGAAGGTCACCGATGGCTGCGTTCGTGCGCAGACGCCACTCGTACCGCAGCACGTTCCCCTGCCCGCTATCGCTCGAGCTCCGATATGGGGACGCGTCCAATGGCACGCTCCTCCGACGCTCTCGCAGGAACGGTTGCCTGCGACAACCCCTTCTCTTCCGTCCTCCTCCCCTCACGCGGACAGCGTGTGGCCTTCTGAGGAGAGGTAGGGTTGCGAACATGGAGACTGCTGCGTTGAACCTCGAGCTCTGTCCCTTTTTGGCGTTTCCCTCGTGCACGTCCAAGAGCACCGGGCAAAGAAAAGCGGTACAAGCCCCGATTCCCACAAAGCTCTCTGCTCGCCGTGATTGGTGGTTTCCTCCGCTCTACTCGCCTTCTCTCCAGCATTCGCTCCGCAAAAGCGGAAAGAGAGAAGGGCTTCGTGGGACGAGCTTGTCATGCTTTTCTTAACCTTCTGCTGAATTTGGCACGTCAGCTTGAAGACCCAGAAAGGACGGGACAAGGCAAAACAGCTGACTAATAGTTTTGCTTTAGGACACTTATGTCTGTTCAAGCTGACCCATCACCACGTTGTACCAACTGGCGCAACCAAGGCCTGTGAACGAGTTCAGCTGGAATCTAGCGTTCATTCAGTCACAAGTCCCAGTTGAACGCGCTGATGCGACACTCGCGTTCAGTAAGTGCCCCGAGTTAGCCTTCTTTAGCTAACACAAAAAATTCAGCGCGACTTCAGTATGTAGGCGTTGTGGCTAAGAAGGCCCAGGCCTGTCCTGCTCTAGCGTCATCACGAGTGGTAGCGGAACGACTGTCGGACGAGTGGATTCACGCAGTGCGCCTGGCTCGCGTCGTCAGGGGCACGTCTTGCAGTGTCTCACAACGAACGCAATGCTAGCAGACGGCGACGCCAAGATGCTTGCGTCTGGCGCTGTCGACGAGACAATCAATAATAATCTCCGGAGAAGGGGAACAAAGGAATCCAGGGACAAATATAGTCTCCAAACACAGCTAGGTGACTGGTGCGGGACCGAAAAAATTCGCCTGGTCCTGGATCGAACAAGGACCTCTCCATTTCCAGTGGAGCGCTCTACCAACTAAGCTAACCAGGAATTAGACGTCACTAGAGCAAACGGGTTTTATCAGCTGCCACCAGTCTGACAGCAATAAGGGTGAACGGCCTGCATTTTAAGGTTATTATGATGATACAATTAATGCGAAGGTGCAGGCGAGCTAGACAGAATAAACAACAATAATCCTTGGAAAAGGGGAGCAAAGGGGACAACGGACAACACAAATCTCCCAACACGGCTGAGCCAGGACCAGGCGGATTTTTTCAGCGCGCACCAGTCATCTAGCTGCGTTTAGATATTTGCGTTTGTCCCTTGCCCCCCTTGTTCTTCTTCTTCAGGGGTTACTATTGTTTATTCTGTCCAGCTCGCCTGCATCTTTGCATTAATTTCGACGAGACTCGGCGTCTTTGTCTTCTCTGTGTGTCTGGCCTGCTTAGACGGTCTCGCGTCCTAGAGAGACGCCTCGTGCAAACGCCGTTTCTCTCTTCTCCGCTACGCCATTACTTCGACTATCTCCGACGGCCGGTTTTCAAATAGTCGTCGACGAAACACATTTCTTTTTTTTCCCCCGCTATCGCAATCGGGCAGGCACACGTGTGTGGATCAAAGGGGGCGCGGAAGGTTTTCTCACGCGGCGGCATCTCTCTTTTTCTTCGTGGAGGATTAAGAAGGAGAAATGAACTTAATTCCACCTAGATGCCACGCCGCGCTTCGTACGGCACGTACGCCTGGAACCTAGTACCTCGTATGTCATTAATTTTATTTCCTTTTCGAATCGTTCATTACGGTGTGCATGTGTCGTTTGGGCTTGCCTCAATCTAATACTCGCAACGCTAATACTTCTTTTTCTTTTTTTCGATTTGTTGGTTTGTTGCCGCGAACCACCTCTATCGAACCTTCGAACTTTTTTGCAAAATTCGTCGAAGTTCGACCTTTAAACAGTGCTGATCGACTTCTAACATGCAGACCGTAATTTCTTCGAATGGGGGGAAATGATTTGTGTGAAAAGGAGCGCTGGGAAACCTTGTCGATGATTAGAAAAAGGGTCGACTGTTATCGTCTTATGGCCATAGCCTGTTATGGCCCGAAATGTAGCGATTACATTCGTTTCGTGGCAACACAAGGTTTGTGAAAAGTAAAGCGCACTGTGCCGAACGTGTCCTCTCCAGATAGTCCCGATGGTCCGCTAAAACAAACCGCTAGCAGTCGATATACTGCGCGCGCGCACCGCTAGCCTTTCTCTAGCTTGGCAAACGGTGAAAGCCTGCGTGCCCAGCGAGCCAATCAGCACGTCGGAGCGAGACACCTGACGACGTACCGTCAGAGTGCACTCCACCTGCTGAGAGTTGTCACGTCTCTGATTGGCTCGAGGGGCCGGTAGCGCTTGCAGGACAGCGGATACGATATACGAAAACTCCCTGATATCTGCATATCGGACGATCGGATAGCAGACGATATGCGATCGCTGCAACCTGTCCGCCATCTTGATTTGAATCGGCGCCCCTGCGTGGCCAGCCGCAGCGGCAAGTTGGGCAAGGCTCGCGGGAGGCGATACGGCAGCGCCAAAATGGCTCATCCATCTGTCTGGGCGCGCGCGCGCTGCTGCCCGCCTGGGCTGACCTTGGGGTACGGTTCTCCCTTGCCGTGGCGCCGTTGGCCGGCTGGTTTTTACGACACGCCGACCTTGGGGAAAACCGGAACCCGCCGGCGCACGTTGCGGGCTGCGAGAGGGCTTGCCGCCGTGCAGGGTTGCGCGTCGTGCTGGTTTAATTTTGGCCGCGCTCACTACTACTGTCCTCCGTTTCACCCCACGATGGACCGCAGCCGACGATAAGGGGCATCCCAGCCGCTCCAGCGCTGCGAACGTTTCACATAACTACGCGCGGCGTCGCTGCGGCCCTGTTGAAGATCACGTGACACACGGCATTACATTGGCTTTGATAGCTCGTAGCTTCCTTTGCGGTCCATCGTTAGGTTAAACGGAGTATGCCACCACCACCGGTCCACCAAATATGCCGAAAGAAACTGAAGAAGAGGAGGAGATCAGAGTGTGCGGAGATGTCAGAAACGCCGAGTTCTGATTGGAAGGATTAGTTGGCAGACGAAAAGGTCAGCTGACCTTGCCCCTACCGATTGTCTTCTTCCCATCAGAGTGAACAAGAGCCAATAGACCAACAACGAAAATCCAGAAAGACACAATTTCAAGCGCGCAATGAATTATGGGAACGTCCTGTATGCTCCTCCTTGCTCTGGGAGCATCTACACACACAGTCCACCATATGACACTGAGGAGAGAGTGAAGTTACCTTTCGGCTCCGCTGCCTCTGTTGTCTGCTACAGCTGGGTCTGTGCAGCCAGTTCCCGGAATCCCTGTGGTTGCCGTGTAGAGTGCGCTAAACGTTTTCCAACAGATCTGTTAGTGATTTCTGTAACTGTTTGTGTTTGTGCAAGTGTCCTCAAGTGTTCCCCCGTGTACTTGTCTGTGCAGCCCCTGAGCCAGTGGACGAGCGAGAACGTGCTGGAGTGGCTGGCGTGCGTGAACATGCTCGCATACAGCGATATCTTCAAAGCCAAGGAGGTCAGCGGGAGCGACCTTCCCTCCCTGGACAGGGAGAAACTCTCGGTAAGTTAGCAACCTCTCCTTCCTTTTTTCTTCTCTCTCCCTTTATTTCTCTTGTTTGGGAGGGGGATGCAGAAAACCCACCAGTACAGCCTAGTGATTTGGGATGTGTTCTCCCAACGCATTAGTTCTTTGGTGTCCACAACCGAAATGACCATAGGATGCTTTTAGTCAGACTTCGATTTGCGGTGAGCATAGAATGCAGGTTATGTTTGATTTTGATACCCCTAGTTTTTGCACGAGAAAATGGAGGAAACAGGGTCAAGCTTTAACTTTGAACTTTGCTCGAGAGAGGAAGGTCACCATGTGCTATGAAGACACAGGTGTGCCGTGGCATAGGAAGCTGCAGAGAGAGTGTACAGTTTTGCACTTGGTGTGCCAGGACAGCTAGGCACAGATCTCAGATGCTACTTAAGTTATGTTTGTTTCTACTGACGTGATGTACTGTTGAGAGCATGTGCACTGGCTTAGCTGTGTTCGCTTTCAGCATAACTTGGCGGAGAGCAAAACAAAAGCACCTGTGAGCCAATAGACCTATTGCTATATTACCCAAGCATCAAGGAGAATGCAGGGATTGGTGTTCCACGTGCCGCACATGCTGGCGTCAGCACTAGCAACATTTCTAGAGCAAATACCTAAAACAAATGTCATCTTGCACGCGCATTCGTCAACGCTTTATTTTGGTTATTTACTCCAAATCTTTTATATGTGGAAGGCGTGCACATGTGGAACACCAATCCCTGCATTCTTCTTGATGCTTGGGTAATATAGCAAATGGTCTATCGGAGAGGTGAACCGAAACTTGCGACGGCCCTCCACAGGAGGAGTGTATGGCAATGGTGTGTTGTCACACAATTCACTCCAACACTCTAATGGGTTCATTGGGGCTTTAGCCCTTGCCATTTTCTGCCTTAGACTGAAAGAGACCATATCTGCAGCCTTGGCTTTTTTCATGAAAGCTAATTTCGTTGAGCCCCTTACTACCATTGGCCAGAAAAACCCTACTTGTTTCGAGACCCAGCTTGCAAAATGCATTTGGAGTGCCTGACGTGCCAAACGTTTCTCATGTGGGGGTGCATAAAAAGCGACTCAAAGATGCTTAACTTAAATAGTGCGGCCTCATTCACAATCTCTTCACTGTAGGACCAAGCTTCAGTATGTTCAGACACCCTCTGCATTGTAAAATCCAATAAGGACAATTCATAGTTTGTTTTTTTTTGGTACCTGCTTGAATCTAGCTAGGCCGGCCCTTCTCACACATTTATAGACCGTTGACAAGCTGTGGAGTGGTTTCCACCTCCATTCTGCAAGCAGAAAAGTTTTCTCGCTTATATTACTCTTGTTCCAACTTCTGATGTAATCCACAACTCTTCAAGGCTCTGATTTGTAGCACCGCCGTCCAGAGTTGGCGTATATCTGGAAGTGGTGCGTTGCAGCCGGGCTGGCGCCAAATTGATTTTGAAACATTGGCCGCTTCCTCCTTCCCTTCTTCTGTTTGGGCTCGCTCCAAGTAGCTTGGAATTCCCCCTTTTTTTTTCTCTCTCTTTTTGCCAAACCTGCCTCCCTTCACACTTTTCATTCTGGTTCCGCTCTAGCCAAAGCTTTTTTTTTTTCTTTTTTTTTTTTCCTCCGTACATCAGTGAGCTGGCATGAAACTGTTCTTTGCTTTCCAGTCTTTGGCAAGAAAGTATAAGTAGAGGAGGGGGTGGTGGGGCTACGGGACAGGGTTGTTTTGGATGGGGACTAAAAAAAGAATTCTCTCGACATCTTTTGGTTGGTGTGTCGGTGGTTTGGGTCCTCTTATTGGATGGAGTTGAGAATAATTCTGCCCCTGGTACAAGGCTAGAACCTTTGGAGACCTTTTGGGCTTCACCGTTGCTTTGTGATGCATAAACTCGTAGGTTATATGCGGGGTCCTTTATTTTAGGAAACCGGAAATTCTCTATCTCTTCATCCTCCTCTGGATGATTATGAATGGGGGCAGCATAGTTTTGGTCCAAACAAAGCTCGTAACCCTCTCTGGTCCAAAATGCCAATTTTTGATTGAACAAATCCTCTTCATAAAGTATGGTTGTGCTATAATAATCCTAAGTAAAGATGGCAACTTGCCCTTTGCTTAAATATAAAACAGCACAACCTTTAAACTTCTGGATTTTGGAATTACCAACACAACTTTCTCATATATAACTGGCCTCTGACATCACTCCACCACATTGGTGTGACCTTTTCGGCGTTTTATGCACAAATTATAAGTGTTCCTCCCATATTTTCCTCTTGTCTGGCTTTCTGCATGTGTCCAATATCACATGAATGCGTGTCTGTTTCTAAAGAGTAGGTTGGTATCCCCAAAGTGTGAATAAAAGCGGTTTCTTGCCTGTTTTTCTTTGCAGAACATGGGGATCAAAGAAGAGACCTCTCAGACTGTGCTGTTGCGGTGCATCGGGGAGCTCTGCCGCGGATCAAACACGGTATGTGAGCTCTTCCCGATTCCTTTGCATATTGTGGAAGTTGTGCCTGTGTCACCTAGCCTGGGTCTGCCCATTTGAGCAGCAGGCAAGAGTTAAGGGTGTCTCATTTTTCAGCAATAAGCTTTGATGTGCTTGAGGCGCAGTAAAGGGGCACGTTCGTTTCGGTAAGACGTAAAATGGTGTTTAGCAGCATCTGTGTCATGTTTTGCAAGCAGTAGTGCACAGACACGAGTGAAGATGATCAATGGTTTGTCCGAGAAATAACCGTCATGGCGTAATGTTACTGGTGTCTGTGCCGAAATTGGCCAGAGATGAAACAAGACGAAATACTCATTAACCAAAAAATTTCAGGTGACTTTTTTTTTTTTATGCAGGTTTTGCAAAACAATATTTGGGTGCTTATTGGGGTTTACACATGAAAACTAGGAACCCTAGTGACAGTGCAGGTGAATATGTCGACTCACGGTGAACTTGTCTGTTCCTGCAGAGCTCCTGCTGTGAAGAGGAGAGGAATTTCCTAAGCTCCTTGCTGAAGGAAGATGGTGAGTGCCATTTTGCACCATCTCTGTGTGTGAATCATACAGCGTTGCCCTTGGTGACGGTATAGAATGTCTGGATAAACTCTGAAGATACTTGAAGCAGGACCAAAGTTTCGTTGCCTGCATGGTTGAGCATAAATTTCATGAGTTCTCTTTGAGCAACCACTTTCAAACATGGAAGGCTGATGCATGCATAAAGGAGAAAACCTTGTTTCAGGGGGCATGCTCTTCAGTCTCAGAACTCACTAGTTCATTTGTAATTTTTGGGTAACATTATTGGATGGGTACCTGACTGCAAACAGCTTAATAATTTTGCATCACAAGAATGACGTTGGAACCAAATATCTGCCACATCGCTGCTCTAATTGACTAACATTTCCCACATGTTGCTGTGTTACTCGCCAGTAAAAACTTGATACCGATTTTTTTTAAGTCTCACTCTTCTTTCCCTTTTGTAGTTCTACTTTTGTTTTGTGTGTCATTGATCGTTATTCACCAGCCTTTCAGTGACCTTTAGCAACAACACAAATTGTGGTACGGGCAAAGACAAGTAAAAGCAGGAAACAGGACAAGTGCTAGCTGTTTGTGTTACAGCGCTTGTCCTTGTCTGTAGCACTATTTATGTTCTTGTTACGCTTAGCCAACAGTTAATAGTGGTACCCTCGATGACTGACCATCTGTCCGCCTTGCTTCTTCCAGGAACAGGTGCACAGCAGCAGCACCAGCTGGAGTGGCAGAGTTTCCCACCGGGCACCGAGCAGTGTGACAGCTGCCGTCACCTGCTGCGGGGCCTCGCCCACCAGGGGCTCCTGTGCCGCGATTGTGGCCTGGTCTGCCACCGGGGCTGCGCCGTCACCCGCGGGCTGCCGGCGTGCCGCGCCCAGTTTCTCCGCCAGCGGGCGGCCATCTTGTCCCTGGCCTCGCTGTCCCGCGACCTCACGACCCAGTTCAGCCTAACGGAGCAGTCCGCTCCCTCGTACCTCCTCCGCTGCATGCAGGAGATAGAGTGCCTAGCACACCTCAACTCCAACGTGGACCTCTACAAGGCGTACAGTGCCCCCTGTCTCCCCGACCGCGTCCACGAGGTGGCGCTGAAGCTCCGCGATGACCCCACCAAGGCGGACCTGACGGGCTACGACATCCACTGCCTGATCGGGGCGCTGAAGAAGTATCTCCGTGAGTTGGTGAACCCCGTCATCCCGGTACAGTTCTACGACCGTTTCCTCGAGGCTGCTAAGCATGGTGCCGAAGAGCCACGGAGCGTTCGTCTTCTTCAGCTAGTGCACCAGCTTCCGGCACACCACGAGGCCACGCTGCGGAATGTGATGGGACATCTGTGCCGCCTTAGCCGGCTCCAGCATGCGCGAGGACACCAGGAGCCACCGCTGGCGTTGGCGCACTCCCTCTGTTTCATCCTACTGAGGCCGCCCTGGGAAGAGACTCTGCAGGCAGTGCGCAATGCTAAGCTGCATGCCCAGGTGTTGGAGACCCTGCTCCTCCGTGGTGACTGGGGCGAGGCGATGCCGGACTGGGCTGCTCCGGCGCTCCCGCCGCGCCGGCTGTCGCGCTCTGGCGGGCATGCCGGCGACTGCGCCGCGCCGCGAAGCCTCCAAGAGGCCGAGTGGTATTGGGGCGACATCACGCGCGAGGAGTGTTCAGACAAGCTGAAAGACACCGCCGACGGGACGTTCCTGGTCCGGGACGCGCTTGACCGGGGCTCCGGCGACTACACGCTGACCCTGCGCGTGGGTGGCAGCAACAAGCTCATCAAGATCTACCACCGGGCTGGCAAGTACGGCTTCTCGGAGCCTCTGACCTTCAACTCGGTGACGGATCTCATCAGCCACTACCGCAACGTCTCACTGGAGCACTACAACAACTTCCTGAATGTGAAGCTGCTCTACCCAGTCTCCAAGTTCCACGACGAGGACCCAGATTCTGATGCGGAGAAAGTGAGCCAGCGGCTGATGGAGGTGAACCGGGAGTACCTGGGCAAGAGCAAGCAGTTCGACCAGTTCCACGACCAGTTCAACCGGCTCAGCCAGGAGCTGCAGATCAAGAACCAGGCGCTGCAGTCGTTTGCCGAAGCTGAGGCCATGTTCATAGAGCAGGCAGACGTGCTGCGACACTTCCAGAAGGAGGCCCCCGACCATGAGCTCAAGGGGCTGGAGGAAAATGCGGCTCTTCTTCAGCGGCGGCTCAAGGTGCTCCGAGAGAGCAAGAACAAGCTGGCAGACGACGTGCGGGGCCGCCAGGCATTCTACAAGCAGCTGGAGCGGGAGATCAACGGCCTCAAGCTGGAGGTGGCCCAGGCGGCCAAGCAGCGGGAGAAGTGCCAGGCCTGGTTGCAGAGCAAGGGGGTCAAAAAGGACCGCATCAACAAGCTGCTCCAGGACTCGTCCGGGGAGGCCAAGGAGACCGCCGGGTGAGGGTTTCTCTCGATCCCACCTAGGCCCCAAAGGTTCCTGCAGACCAAAGACGGTCTTTGTCTGGCCACACCTAGAGATGGTGACAGGCTAAGAGGGAGAAGCTCCACCGATCTCTTTCCACTTTAGCAGATGAATGCTGGAGAGGAGGCCACCTCTTCTCCCACTCTGCTAAAGAGGAAAGAGGTGGGAAGAGCTTCCCTTGAAGTCTTAGCCTGTCACCAACTATAGCTGACATAATTCAGCTTGATCTTCAGATTTCGGACCATCGAAGTTCCTGGATCTGGGGATCCAGCAGTCCGAAGATGGCAGCCGCTTTCTGCGAGCTGCCATCTTTGTGTGCTGGGTCAGGGATGCGTTCTGACAATGCACGGTAGCTCTCTCCCTTGGAATATTGACCGCCATGCATGCGTCAGCAACCCATTGGCTGGGTACTTCCTGCCCGAGCGCCTGAAAGACGTGTACTACCCCGCAACAACTCTTATGCACGACTTTGTTCTCAGCTACCAGAGCCACAGCCCTACAATGCTGAGGGAAAAGGGGGAGACTCGAACAGCCACTAAATAGCAAGGCAGTAGCGCTGGATTTTTCGTGTGGACGCACCAGACGCATTCCAGGCACCCAAGTGTTGCGTCGTGTACGATCTGCTTGAAACGGGGTGTTGTGACGATTGTTAGGGCCGATGGGCAACGTGGCTGACGTAGTGTACTGTTTTCTTTTCTTCAGCCGCAACAGCCGAGACGAGAGTGGGGAGGCCCCCGGCCTGTACAGCGACAGCACGTGGTTTGTGCAAGACTGCGACCGCAAGGAAGCCCAGCGGTTACTTGAGGGAAGGAGGGACGGCACGTTCCTGGTGCGCCCCAGCAAGATGCCTGGACAGTACGCCCTCTCCATCGTGTGAGTGTCCACAAATGTCGCGCGCCCGAATTCTCAGTTCACATGTAGTTCTACTCTTCGTTTCGTTGTAACTTGGCAGAGAGTGGACGGTCCCAACGAGCTAATCGGAGTGACTGAGGCGAAGAACTTGACAGCCCTCATAGAAGGTACGGGGGCGAGAGCGTAACCCAAGCACTCGGAAAAGAGGGGAAGGAGGAACTCCTTCCTACCCTCTTTTTTGTGTCCCAGACTCCTAATCGCTCAAAAATTTGTACCAAGCGGCTTTCCCCTCTTCCCCGCCCATGGCTTTTACAACACTGCATGCAGCTAGTGAGACAAAACACGGTCACGCGTATCCGTTTATTGTGTTGGTTGGCTCACTGGGACGGTAACGTTTGCCAAGTTAAGGTGGGATGGAGTATGGCTATAGGCACCAAATAAGCTATGTTCAGGGTGTCGGCACTGCATTCCCCAATTTTGTTATGGGTGCCATTCTCTTCGTGCTCACTGCAGCGAGGGTGCAGTTGGTGACTGTCATAATTAAAAGTGCCGCTGCCGGAACTTCACATGCGGTGTCGGGAAGCTCGGAGGAAAGCGTTTCGCTCCGTCATGGACTGTGTGAACATTTCTGGAGGACGGAAAACCGTGTTTTCTATTCCAAATAAAGCTTCGGACAATTGGCAATGATGATTATCAGCACCAAGATGGCTGAAGCGTCGTCTAGCGGCTCTGTGTGATGGATGGATTGTTTATGTTTGCGTTTAAACCTGTCCCACGCGTGCCCGGCGGGACTGCAAGGTCGGCGCAGCGTTGTTGCCTGTTTGGCAGAGCCTTATAGCCATGTTTTGCTCGTGTCTTTGCAGGGCGGAGGGCAAGGTGAACCACTGCCTCATCCAGAAGACTGACCGCGGCTACGGCTTTGCGGAGCCCTACAACATCCACCCGACGCTACGCAGCCTTGTGCACCACTACGCCCTCACCTCGCTCGAAGAGCACAACCCCCTCCTCAAGACGACCATGGCACACCCCGTGTTTGCGTCTTCCGGCAGCCAACAGCAGCCGGCGCAGCCCCCCAGCTGAGCTCGAGTGTTCCCCCGTCCGGCCGTGATCTCTCGGACTGCCAACAAGACGCCCGTCTGTGGCCACCTCCTCGTCTGCAAGAGAGACTGTGTGCGGCGACGGCTGCGGCGCGAGGAAAGACAGTGTGGGACTCTGTCGCCCCGACGACGACGGTTTCGCCGCTGCAACATAGCCGGGCTTTCGGGCTTAAAAGCCGGAAGCGTACCTGTGATCAGCACGTTGTTTTCGACAACCCATCTTTTCATTGTTTTCTTTTTTCTTTGTTTTTCCTCTCTCGCGATTCGTGTCTTTGTTCCGGTTCGTTCTCACATCGGTGGAGTGAGCCTGGCTGGGTTTCTTCTCGAGGCGACGCTCCACGCAACACAAACATCGTCGTTTTTGGCCCTCGGCCTCGTTTCGTGGTTCCTCCCCGCGCGCGCGTCTTTCACTCTTTCGTTACATATAAATATACATCGTCGACACTTTCCGAGGTGTTGTAAATACATTTGACGGCCGGGTGGGGACGAGAACCTTCTGCGTGCCGTTTCCACGCGTGTTACATATGTGCTTCTATGTGAGCGGTGGCAAAAACTCTGCTGCCGCGAGGGAACGAGGCTGTGGATCCAAGTGCAGCATTGTCTTTTTTCCCAAAAGACTAAAGAGGAGCATCATATTTTTTTTTTATCACTTTCTTTATGCTTTAGCAAACAAAAACGACTGCCCGAGCTATGGTTTTCAGCCGCATCTAGTCACGCTACTTTTGTGTGAGCAGTCCCGAAAGGAACGATTCTGCGTAACGGACTGCATCCGGCGCTTGGAGAGCGTCGGCGCGTGTAAAGGAACAGAGGTGTTACGAACAAAGGGATAGTTCTCCTTTTTTCGTTTTCTTTGTTTTTGGAAAGAACGATTGGCAGGGTCTGCCGCCGCGCCGCGGCCAAGGAAAGGGATTGTGCCGATGAGCGTGGGTTTTTGGACGGCGAGCCAGCGTCTGCATTTGACCTCCGATTGAAAGCTGCTCCGAAAAGTCGCGAGCAGAGCCGCGTCGCACGACTTGACAATCAGCTTTCCGGATTGGCTGCCGCAACTTGTCCTTGCCTCGAAGAGGACAACCGTTGTGCCGACGAGGCCTATACTTAGCTTTGCTTGCGTTGCATTCTTTGGAATTGTTGGGCCCTAGGGCAAGCGGCCGGAAAGGTGTCTGTCCAGTCGACGCAGTTTCCCAAAGGCGAAACTGACTCGCAGACACGCTTGGGTCGCTGGCCGTGGTTACCCGTGATGTGTGCTGCCGAGGTACTTAGCTGGGGCCGCCGTGCTTTACGAAGGCAGTACCGCGTGTCTGCGTCTGTTGAGTATTTTATAGGATTTATCCAATGAAACTGGTTGTAAAGACTAAATGGACCTTGTACATATACATATAGCTAGGTATATTTAGCGAATTCTTTGTTTTGGCTTTCAAAGGAGCAGGTGTTGACCAAGTGGAAAAAAAACAAGAGTATGTCTGTGTGTGTAAGCGTGCAGTTGTGTTTAGAAAGTTGAGTTGTAGCATCTTCGTTTTTTACATTCTCGATGTGACATACATACAAGCTTTTTTTTTTTTTTAATACTAGTCAGTTTGCCACATTGAGTTCACAGCTTTGAAAGCTCGAAAGAGTATGCCCCCCCCCCCCCCCCCCTTTTCTTTTAAACTGTGGCTCTATGTCATAATTGAAAATGTTACAAAAAGGCTGTTTAAAAAAGAAACGTGCAGGGTTGTCACCTGGCGCTCGGCCGAAATGAACCAGAGGTTGAAGTGCCGTAATGGCACGATGGTTTTACAAATAAATGTCCTTTTTTCCTAAAGTCTTGCGCGTCTGTCTTTATTTCTTTCGGCTTGACACAAAGGCACAGCAAACAGTACTATAGTTATAAGGTGGTGATGCTACACTGTCACGAAGCATGTGGCAAACTCCTTTTAAACCTTAAACGTTGATTAAACATGGTGAATGCAAGCCATGTCTGGCTACCTGCCACACTTCAGAACAAAAACTGTCTTTGTCTGTAGCCTATGGGGGCCATGTCTGGCTACCTGCTACACTTCAGAACAAAAACTTAGGCTGCCCTTGTCTGTAGCCTTTGGGGGCCAGCTGGAAGCCAGAAGTCTCTCCTTGGACGTCAGCATTGTCTTCTCCGAAGACGTCGAAGGCTTCATGACGAACTTCTGGGATGGTGTCAAACTTCAGGATTTCCGAGTCGACGTCGCTGAGCTTGGTCGATCCAGAATGGAATTCTCTTTCTGCAAGCATACCTGGGGGCGTTGACGACAATGGCTGCACCTGGCTGCCGCTGTCGAAACTTTGAGACGTTGTGCAGTTCTCCTTCGGGGCATCTTGTACGGCGAATCCTCCCTGTACATTCTGCCCCTTGTGTCCAGGTGACTCTGTAGTCTTTGAGTCCTCGTACTCGCCGGCTAGTCCCTCGGCGTGCCTGTAGGAAGGTCCAGATGTCTTTGCTGTCTGCAAGTCCTGGTACTGGTTAGTTTGTTCCTTGGAATACTTCTGGTACTGGCCATTTGGTTCCTTGGCATATTTGTGGGAAGATTTAGGTGACTTGGTCATTTGTAAATCCTGGTTCTGGTTGCTCGGGCGGACGGCAGCAGCAACGCTGACGCGAGGAAGCAATGGCAACTGGGCACCAGATCTTGGCTCGCCAGTGGTTCTGGGTCCGGGCAGGAGCCATTCTTGCCTGTTGCGTGGCTGCTTTGGTGGCACGACCTCGCTGTTCCGGGTGTCTGGTTCCATAGATCGCTTTGTGAAGCCTGGTCTCGTGGACATGAGTGTCTTCAGGTCGTCCAGGTAAGTTGAACTGGCTTGCGAAATGCTCTGTCGGCTTGGAGACTCCAGAAGCTCCAGAGCCCTGTGGATGGGTGTCTTGTCCAAAGCAGCTGAAGTGGACAACGTGGGCTTGGCAAAGCAAGGACTGCATGGCACAGGCTTTGGTGCAGTGGGGTCTTGCACCCGCGAGGTTTCGGCTGGGGTTGTAGTCGATGTTTGACGACTCTGTTTATCAAAGTAGATGGAATGTGTCGACTGTCTAGTCGGGGATGGAGCAGTCACTTGGGACGATGCATAAGTTATTGGAAGCAGTTTAAATGGCTCTTTCCCGGCAGCCTTTTTTTGGTTGGATTTGTCCTGTCGTATTTTGAGGTTTTTAATTTTAAGTTGGAGCTGGTGGATCTTGTCGTTAAGGCATTTGATGCTTTGCTTTGCGACCTCTGAATTTTTGTAGAGTGTGGCGAGCTTAACAAAAGGCTGTGTTGCAGCCCTACGTTTCTCTTCTTTTCGTCTGTAAATCTGTGCCTTTAGGGACAGCAGGTATGCTTCTTTTGAAGCATATTTCTCTGCAAGTTCCTTCACACTTTCCTCCAGCTTTGTTATGCCTTGCGAATCCTTCAGGTCTTTTTCGACTCGCTTGATGGTCGACAGCAAGCTCTTCAAGTTCGCTTCGTCCTCCGACAGCTGTTTAAGTCTCGCAGCTGATTTCTGCTCTTGAAGGGCCAGTTTTTCTTGGAGGTTTCTTTCTTGTTGTTGCAAGCTGAAGAAAGATTTTGTAAGGCTCTTCAAGTACAGTTCACTGGTGTTCAGGGTTGCCTTCCCCCTCTCGATGTTTTCGTCTAGACCCTGTATCTTCTCCTCGTAGAGCGTAATTTGCAGTCGCAAGTCCTTCAAGTGCTTGTCATGCTGTCGCGCTCTTTCCTCCTCTATCTCGACCTGCTCGATCAAAAGCTGCCTTTCGCTAAGGACGCTCGCAACCTCCTGAGTGTTCGGGACGTTCTTACTCGTCATTATGCCAGCGATTCGGACGAAATCTCGACAATTTTCTCAAAAACCCGGTGAAAATGGCGTCAGTTTTAAGCCAACACCGCCGACGATCAAGGGAACGCACGAAAGCAGACGACGCAAGAGATTGCACAAAGCTGCCGATGGAAACATTTATGAAACAAACGCCTTACAATTAAGATGCTGTTTAGTATAAAATAAATTCGAATACTGCGAACATCTTGTCGAAAAGTTGCTAATTTACATTTATCTCTTGCTGTTACGTGGTTTTGATGACACTTAGGGCCTTAGGGCGCTTGAGGGCGCAACGATCTGGAAGTGTTTGAAATCGGGACTTTTGGGGGCTGTGAGAAGTTCTCGCCGTTCTAAGGTGCAGTAATTTTAGAAGTCTGTCGAAAAGAGAACGTAGGAAGCTAATAAACAGGTATGCTACTCTCGAGTAAAACCTTGTAAAGCCAAGCCAACCAAGCACCAACCCAAAAGCGGAAGGTCGGCGCCATTGCCGTGGATCCTCTACCGCCTCTACCCCTGGCAAGTCGAAATGGTTTTGCGTAGTTTTCAGTTCAACGGGATCTTGATTTGTCATGCCATTGCTCGTGCGGTGTAAGGATGTCGTACAGCTTGGGTGCTCAAGGTAGTATACTACGTTTTACTTGAAGCGCAAGCGTAGCACAAGCTACAAAAGTGCACTGAACAGCGCACAAAAAGACGGACAGAGAAAAGGAACATGCACAACACACGAAGCGATGTTCTGTCCACTCTGTCATCGCACCAACTCGCCCAGCTTACCACACTTCTACACAAATGTGCTCCGGCAAGCTTTGGGTTTCCAGCGTCCCTGCCGAGCGTTCTCTGTCTCGATGATGCGTATTTCGCGCGCCCGAGAACCTCATCTTTTATTTCTTTTGATTTTGGTTTCTGTTTAGATCTGTGCCACCCACGGTGGAAGAAACATTTAGGTGACGACTCCCTGTCCGACGTTGCGACGTCGCACGGGGATAGATGGCGCCCCAGTCTCGGGTCCCTCCCAAACCAACCTCCCCGGTTGTTTCTCCCAGCGGTGTCCCTCCTTCCCTCGCTCACCGCTTGTTGTTGTACCCACGGTAAAAGAAACACATTTAGGTGATGACTCTCTCTCCGATGCGGCGACAACAATATGTTCGGCACACCGAGCGCGCTTCACCTGCACGGGGGTAGATGGCGCCCAAGTATGGAATCCCTCCCAAATCGACTGCTCCCGCTATTGCTCCCAGCGGTGGTCCCGCATTCCCTTGCTCACCGCTTCTTGTTGTACCTCATTGTCACCACTGGCACCTGTGATTGACACAGCACCAAAGCGAAAGACGAGGCCAACCACTAGCAGCACACCACCACCACACCGCGAAAAAGGCGAGCACGCTACGTTGCCGACACCGTGGCAGCCGAGGAGGGACATCATACCTCAGCGCCCTCTGCGGCGGTGCGGAACTAACTACTCCTGGTTCAAGGCTAGCTCCGAACACGATTTGGGCCCGTTTGCTCGAAGCCGGTTAACTTTAACCGCGGTTAAAAGTTAACCGCCCTTCCCTACTAGGTACCTACAAGTACCTAGCCAAGTTTGACGAGGGCGGAATGAGCGATGGCTCCGTGTTTTATTATGGGGTGGTAGCTGGTGTCACCTACTGGCTGTAGCGAACATAAGTGGCTTCCGTGGGAAGGTTCCGGAAAGGGGGGGCCCAAAAATGCACGCTACCGGGTTTTCGCGATGCAGCGCGGCATACATTTTAGCTTAAGAAACAATTTTTATTGTTCGTGGTACAAATAATTGGTAAAGTAAAACTAAATTAACCCTTGTTTGGAAAATTTCTAAATATTTGGCTGTCTGAAGTGAAGACAAGCCTCGTTGAAATTTCCTTCCAAGTTCAAAAAAGGACAACGAAGTTCAGTGCTAGAAACGATGAGGAAGAAGTGAGCAGTGAAAGGCGGGCGGTACACCGACAGCATAGTTGGCCAGCATGTAAGAACTGTATATAACACCGTCATAAATTGAAAAACCTGTAATTCGGCTCTAGTGAAAATTGACCTATTAGTAAATTACCCGAACATCAAGGAGAACGCTGGAAGTGTAATTCTACGATCCGCGTGCGCTGGCCTTCCGTTTATAAAAGATTTGAAGTAAATAATCATAATAAATCTTTGACGAACACGTGTGCACGGCAAAATTTGTTTTAGGCTTTTTGCTTTAGAACAGTTATTACTGCAGACGCCAGCACGTGCAGCGCATGTAACTACACTCGTAGCGCACCTCGGTGCTTGGGAAATTTAGCAAAAGGTTTATGGGGGCGCTGTCTGCTTTTGTGTGCTATTAATACCCGGCCGATTGAGTCAGGGCAGTCCAGTTTCCAAAGACGTTGCCATGCCGACAACTATCGCGTTCATTTAGGCTTAGGAATGGCGAGAATCGAAAGACTCTAAAAAATGCGGCGAGGTCATTGCGTTTTAAGTGAGGTGAGGCAAAGCGAAAGCCTCCTGCACCATTCATTGCTGACTAATGCACCCAATACTGCAGCTACTGCGACGTAAGAGTTCCAAAGCGAGCAGTGCTCACTCACCGGGGCACCACCACGTTTGCCCGCCATCCTTACTCTACCCGGTCATGTGACCTAAAATTCCCCCTTGTAGGGAAATGCGGGTAACTTCTAACCGTGGTTAGAGTTAACCAGCTTCGAGCAAACGGGCCCAGGTCGCTCGCTCCCTGCGGGAAGAGCGGCCAGCGTCATCACCTAAATGTATTTCTTCCAGTGTGGTGCCACCACAGGAGCATCGATTAATTCTGGGTAATGTTCGGTTGCTTCGGTTTCACTCACACACATGAAATGAACTGTATGGCGAGCAAGTGTAAAAAAAATGCGTCTTTGGCGCATGGAAATGCAAAACGATGCACTCCAATAAAAAGGGAAAAAAAAAAAAGAAAGCCCGGTTGGGTGGGCTAACCACTACACCTTAACCAAAGGGCAACACAGAGTGTGCGAATGAACCAGAGGGCAACACAGTGTATGTGTGAAGGCGATGTAGTTGGAAAAGGAAAGAGACGCAATCGTGGGTGTAGGCCACGGTGAAAGAGACACATTTACGTGATGACTCTGGCCGCCTTTCCCGCGGGGAGCGAGCTACTAGATTGTGTTCGGAGCTAGCTTCGAACCAGGGGTAGTTAGTTCTGCGCCGCTGTGGAGGGCGCTGATGTATGAGGTCCCTTTTTGGCAGCCACGGTGTCGGCGGCGTAGCGTGCTTGCCTTTTTCGCAGTGGTGGTGGTGGTGTGCGACCAGTGTGAGGCCTCGTGTTTTGCTTTGGTGCTGTGTTGATCACAGGTGCCACCATCATGAGCAAAGGTGAGCCTTAACCCGAAAAAGAAGGAATAGAACAGAGATTTACGTACTCTGGCGATTTGGTGGCGGCGTGGCGGTGGTGAGGTACAACAAGAAGCGGTGAACGAGGGACTGCGGGACCACCGCTGGGAGAAACAACCAGAGTGGTCGGTTTGGGAGGGATTCTATATTTGGGTGCCATCTATTTCCGTGCGAGTGAAGCGCTCAGTGCGCCGAACATAACATGGTCGCCACGTTGGACAGACAGTCATCACCTAAATGTTTCTTCTCACTTGGTGTAGGCTTATAGACCCTTCTATTACTGCCTCTGCAACACAGAGAACGAAGATGACGAGAGAGCAAAGCGCGCGCTCTGCTATTGGTTGAAGTTGGGGAAAACAAAAGTCTGTGGGTGCATTTGACAGGTAAACAAAAGCATGAGGTGTCCAAGGAGCAGACAAACTTGGACACCGTGCGACGAGAGCTGCGTCTCCTAGCTGGGCCTTTTTGCATGCTTGCCATGCTAGCAGCCAACGAACAGCAAGCATTGTGTCAGTCGTTCCTTATCAATATCAGCTCACGTGAGCATCGTGCTGCACAAAACATTCGGGGCCACAGTCGCCGCTAACTTCTTTTATTAGAGATAAAAAATTTTAAACACAGACCCCCTTCATGCTCTGGTGAAAACAGCCATGGTCATCTTATTTCCAGTAGGCCGACCTCCACCTGCCAACAAGCGAAGAGCGATGTGATAAAACGAGGAACGAAAAATGCTTCTCATGCGGGTGTTATCAATTGCTGGTCCGTATAATAGTTACTGGACCGTCCTCAAACACAAGAGCACTTCATAGGCACAGATACATGAAAAACATGACACTGATTTTTTGCCGTTGCCGGTTACACTGAAGACACAATTGAATTCGAGCTTTGAGGCAGTCCTGCGGGGCGAATTGTGCGAGAGCACAAGTGCTACACTGGACAGAGGTTAGTTTTCTAATATGATGGTGCACAACCTTTATTCTGACATGAGATAGTCGTTATACAATTAAACAACTAAATACCAAAATTTGCCTTCGAGTGATATAGAATTCAGCCCTTTCACCTGGAAGGGACAAAACTGAGGTTGACTTACCATGGTGGGCACTTCGTGAAGAGCGTCACTACTGGTTGGTCGGGCGCTTTTAAAAAGTCTTTCCTTAAATCAGACTTACTTGTCCCATTATGCGAAAAAGCGGCGTCGTTGTGCCCGAAAGAGGGCCATAAGAATATGTCATCAAGCACGCGCTGCTCAATCGTATGCTCAAGGACAATGCCGTCATTGGTGTCATCCTAGACGTCGTCCTAGACTTCACCCCCTAGGCATTGTCCTTGAGGTCAGCCCAGACACTGTCCTCTAGGCGTTGTTCTAGACGTTGTCCTAGTCATCGTTCTTGACTAGGACGATGTAGAGGTTGTTCTAGACTTCGTTCTCTAGGCGTTGTTCTTGACGTCCTCCTAGACGTTGTCTTAGAGGTCGTCATAGATGTCATCTTCGACATCATCCGAAAGGTCGTCCTCGGCGTCGTCCTAGGCGCCATTCTTGACGTCTTCCTCGACAACATCCGAGAGGTCGGCCTAGACGCTGTGCTTGGCATTGATCTCTAGGATGTCATCCTATACGTCATCCTAAACTTTAATACGTGTAGAAACATTACTCGAAAACATTTCTCCCGCGGGACTATGATGCTTTCGCGTTCCTAAATGTAAGCAGTCTTAAGTGTCTTGTAATTTTTACATGCTTATATGAATACATCTGAGATCATTGTTTTATCTACCACATATTAGCAAAATGTGTTTGGAAAATGTCATTCATGTATGTGGAATTGTCCATTATTGGACTTCATTCCCTTTATTTGGCTGCTGCTAGAGGACCGATCAGGTTTCCCGTAAGCCAACTTCAGGAGTCAAAGCATTACAGGTTAGATACTTTTGTCAGAGCAGGCAAATAAATTTACAGAAGTGTAGTTCGATGATCGTAGCACAGTACAGGGTGCGTGATGCATTTGAGAACGTGACGGTGGTTCCAGAAAAAAAATAAAAAAGATAATTCAATAAATATTAATATATTTGCACGGAATTTGGTACAGATACTGCTCTCTGTTGGTGTTATCAACTTCATCTAATAAAGCTACCGTCAGCAGCAATGTATGGCTCGATGCGGCTTCAAAACAACTGCATGCCCTAATTCAGTGGTTTTCGTAGGTGGCTATAGACGCTTTACACACGCGCCAAATTACAGCCGCCATTGCTGACCTTCTCTTGTCTTGCCGAGATGCCGAGCAACTGAAACGATAGTTGACGATTCCCCTACAAAGGCCGATGCTTCAGAAAAGGACACACTTGAATCTAATGTGGCAATAACCTGGCCTACTATGGTAATGATGAAGTGAAATAGAAGAAATAAGAGGAAACAAAAACTGAAGGTCAGTTATGGCGGCGCCCATGCACAGCTGCTGCAAAGCGTCTATAGCATTCACAATGGCAGCCCTGAATGTCTCTTTGGTGTTGTTAGGCTACTTGATGGTCTCTCTCTCAGGACGACACCCCAGTCATAGTAGTAGTGCAGGGGGTTTACACCTAAAGAGTTAGGAGGCCACATGTTTGGGGTGGCGTAGTCGTGTAGGTTGTCAGACAGTCGATCTTGGGTCGCATGGAGCCGAGTCTCGTTGAAAAATCTATGGCCTCCCCTGGGCCACCCCCTCTATGTAAGGTTTTACTACTGCCTCCAGGGTCTCCATGTAGGCCTTTGACTTCACCTTTAAAGGGCCCCTGAAAAGAAAAGAAATATATTTTTTGAACAGTCTAATTGGGATACACGCGTGTCAAAAAAATAATTTTACATGAAAAAAAAAAAAAAGAAAATTTTAGTGCAGTATTGACAGTGCGAGACGCAATTTAGTGAGTAGTCACCTCCTTTGCACTTGTTTTCTCTCTGCATTTCGGGCGCGCGTGGAGGAGAGGTCGATCGGCTTCGTCTACAGATCGAGGTGGAAAGAGCAAACGACCGAGATGGTCATTCCGAAATGACCCGTGACGTCATGGACTTTGCGCGCAGAGTTTAAAATAAATCTGTCACCGTCAATATTGCTCGAAATTTTTTTTTTTTTTTTTACGTAATATTTATTTTTTGGCATGCGTGTCCCAACCAGACTGTTTAAAAAAAAAAAACATTTTTTTTATTGCCCTTTAAGCCCTGTTGGAAGAAGTGTGGCTGGAGGATGCAACCCTCGTTCACAACGCTAGGACCATCACAAATAATGGAAACTTTGTCTGCATGACCGTAGGGACATCAACGGGGCTCGCACAGGGCCACCTGTCATTCCTCCTATTGACCTTTCGGTCTTAATCAAAGTTCTTTTCGTCAGAAAAAAAAACAAAGCATGTTTGGTTCCTCAGTGTACTTGAGCTTGTTCAACAAGTGCTTGGACCGGATGACACGGTCTTCCTGGGGTTTTTTGGGACATAAACTGCTCTCTCCTCATCACATACAACTGGTATCTAAGATTCTCATGCACCACAAGCTTGATAGTTGACTCTGCCACCTCTAGCTGCTTGGAAATGGCTTTCATTAACTTGCTGGGTTTGTCGTTCCCAATGTCCTACACCTTCTCTACATATCAGCCGCCTGACGACGTCTGACTGCTGCGAATGTTTTTTTGGCTTGGGCCACAGACGCAATGTCCCCAACCAAATTCGAAAGCTGTTCTCAAAAACTAAGGACCTTGACACACTCAAGAAGGTGGCTATATCCAATTTTCTGTGGTCAGCGGCCAATACAACCAGGGCGGCATGCCTTTTCACTTCTTGTGTAAGACCTGAAGCTGCCATTTTTAAATTGGTACTCTTGATAGCTGATATAAATGTAGTCAAAGTCAAACTCAAGCATCTAGAAAAATGTAGTAAGAATATGAGAAGTTATGCACCTTTAACTTGTGTTCTCAAATACTGCGCGCCCAGTACATCATGCAATAACACACAATTTGAACTAGAGACCACGGACAACAGAAAGGGAACAAAAACAACATGTCTCAAATACAGCTGACTAAATTTTATTGATGCACCATGTCATATACACCACTCCAAAAATGGCGTAGTGACTTGTCTAGGAAAGAAGACAAAGCAGTTACGAGAGGCACGCGAGCTATGGAATAGCACCTACGGCAGGTACGTTCTAACGATGCAGTTATTAATTTGGAAATATTGTAAAAACAACGTTATGCAGGACATAGTGCCTCTACAATCGAAATAACACCATATTTTACTGCAGTTACCCAGCTGCTTTCTCAATAACATCCATATCTCTGCTGAAAGGGCAATAAAAAGGATGTGCGAGGGTCTTTCGTTTTCTGGGCTCTGGCGGAGGTGTTGGTTACATTTCTATCTCGACACAGGAACGTATCCGGCGTAAGAACCACAAGCCTCGCACACTGGCACACGCGCTTGCAGCATGTAAACAGACCGCCTCCCTCCTTTTTCAGGCACATGGTTCTGCAGATGTTCCTCCGGTCCTTGAGGCTTCCAATCTTCCTGGCATCTAGAGTTTTGTCGGCACGTCCTGCTTCAAACATGACGGTCAGGGAGCAGCCCTTCGACTACTTCCTGGTCCTGGACTTCGAAGCGACCTGCAGTAGAGAGAAACCGCCTCCGCACCCGCAGGTAAGTGCTGCTCCCCTGTGCCGCAGTGGCTGGAACCTGTCTTCGATCGTGTTTAGCTTTCCAAAGCCATTGCTACTTGGGTGGTAACATGCTGTTAACACGTGACGTGTTCTAACACTCTTCATGAACTGCTTAAGCTCTTCAGATGTAAACTGCATTCCGTTGTCGAAGGCGAGTGTCTCTGGCACTCCAAATTGTGCAAACAATTCTCGCGGTTTTTCAGTCGTACTGGACGATGTTGTCAATTGCATCACAAAAACGTCAGGCAACTTGGAGTAAGCATGTTGAAATTAACCTGAGACTGGGGTAGAGAAGAAACATCAAAACGTAGAAGGGACAGAAAATAGACAGGACGACGTCTCAAACTCAGCTGAGTTTGAGACGTCGTCCTATTTTCTGTCCCTTCTACATTTTTATGTTTCTTCTCTACCCCAGTCTCAGGTTAATTTCAACATGGTTAATATTCACCAGCTCGCCTGCACCCTTACGATTTTTTCTTGGAGTGAGCGTCTACCACCACTAAAAAAATGGCTCCCTCGGACAATCCAGCTTAGTCGATGTGGACACGCTGCCATGGTTTGGTATGCCATGCCCAAGGATGCAACGGTGGCTGCTGTTGGCACAGTTCACACGCCCTGATGTATGCTTCAACGTCGCTGTCCTCTGACAGCCGCCGAAGGTAACTTCTGGCTAGTTCTTTGGCAGGTACAACACCTGGGTGTCCTTCGTGGATTTCTTCCAGCAAGAAACTCCGTGGCTTCACCGGCACCATGACTGTCCTAACATGAGAGAGCCCTGCTGTGCTGACAGTTCAGTACTACATCGGAGAAACTGCTTCAGCGACTGGTTTGACAGAAACGAGGGCCAACCTTTCAGAACATACTCCAACGCTCGACCCAACAGAGGGTCCTTGGCACTCTCTCTTGCGATGTCTCGACTACTGACTGGCGAGGAGAGCAACCATAGTGAACAAAAAGACTCATCTTACGTGGTTTTCCTTTCCATTGTGTTCACTGGAAGCCAAGAAAAACAGTCTGCTTCTGCATTTCCAGCCAATTGCTTAAACATTGAAGAGTGGTTATAGGCAGAAAGTGTTAATGTCCAGCTCTGCAGTCAAGCTGTAGCCAGTGCAGGAATTCCCATCTTTGGTCTAAAAATAGCTTGAAGAGGTTTATGGTCTGTCACAAGACTGGCCTTACGACCGTAGAGGTAGAAGTGGAACTTTTTTACTCCCAAAAGCAAGGCTAGTGCTTCTTTTTCTAAGGGGCTGTATCCCTTTTCTGCTGAAGTAAGGGAACGAGATGCATACGCCACTGGCCGAACAGTTCCATTTTCTGGAAAGTGAGACAAAACGGCACCCTCATCGTAGGACGACACATCACATGCTAACTGCAACGCTGCCTTTGGGTCGTAGTGCACAAGCACTCTTGATGAGGCTAGCAGCTCCTTGACTTTCTGAAATGCCTCTTCACACTTCTGGTCCCTGGACCAGTGCACGTCTTGTCGCAGTAACTTGTGGAGGGGCGCAATTACAGTGGATAGTTGTGCAGCAAACTTGCCATTATAGTTCACAGCTCCCAAGAGTGAGCTCAGTTGCTGTACATCTTCAGCTGCTGGTGCATTCACAATGGCGACCACCTTCTCATTATTCGTACTGATCCCTTCAGGGCCTATCACATGTCCCAGATACTGAAGCTGGTTTTGGAAGAAGGCCCACTTCTCACCTGATGCGAACTCCACGTTGGTGAATCTCTCGAATGCTTCCTTCAAGCTTCGCAGATGCTCTCGAGTCTCGCCAGCAATTAACACTTCATCGAAGTAGCAAGCCACTTTGGGAATTCCTTTCAGTATGTTGTCCATTGTTCTTTGAAAGATGGCAGGTGCCAATGCGATTCTGAAGGGCAAATGATTCATTAGGCACAAACCCTTCTTTGTCGTTATTGTCAGCAACTTCCGTGACTTCGCTCGTGACATCTTTTTGGTACGCTCTGTTGAGATCAATTTCGGAAAAACTTTGGCCACCAGCCGGCACTGAAAAAAAGCTCATCTACCTTAGGCAATGGGTAGCGATCAACGTCCAGCACTGGGTTAAGAGTGGTCTTATAATCACCACACAACCGTATGGTACCACAGGCGTGTATTCAAGGGGGGGGGGAGCATAAGGCCCCCCCCCCCCCCTTGCTTTGAAATCTTCCATTTTGCTGGAACCTTCTCTCCCCTCTCTCCCTCATACTGCATTTTGTCATGAACAGGCCCCCCCCCCCCCCCAAAAAAAAAAAATAAAAAAAAGAAAAAAAAAATCCTGGCTACGTGCCTGTGGTACCATCCTTTTTGGGTCCGGGAACGAGTGGCGTCACAAACTCGCTATGCGTTGTTGTTGCGATTACACCTAGAACCTCTAACTTTTCCTGTCTTTTTTCCACAGCCAGAACAAGTGAAAAAGGCACACTTCTAGCTTTCGGGAACTTCGGTCAGCTCGGTCAGCTTCCTTCTTTCAGTAACACCCTTGCCTCTTTGCCATAGCTTTTTCACAATTTGTCCTTGAAAACTTTCTGATGGTTGCATAACATTTCCTGTGCCTTGCGGACTGGTATTGTGGTGCGGCCCTTGTTTACCTTTGTGAAGTTCGTTGACGCCCACAACTTGGTTGCAGTTAAACCGCAGCTGTTGTAGCCATCTTCGGCCTAGTAGCGGTCAGGACCTTTGTCTGCTCGTTGCGGAACACCTCGACATTGATGACATCGCATGGCTTGATGACTTCGCCTGTGTACGTTTGCAAACGAAGTGAAGTCTCTCAATTTTTTTGTTGTCAACTTCTCAAGGTACTGTTTCCTTGAGATAGCAGACACCACTGCTCCAGTGTCCAGCTCCTTTGTTAGTGGAGACTTCTGAACCAACACTTCTACAGTGAGGGAATGTTCTGCTGTAGACTTTATGTTCTTGACATCAGGGCTTCCCTTTTTCTTCTTCTCCACTGTGAGCGATCTGAGCATTTTTTTCTTGCCTCGCGGCTTTTCTTTTCCTCGGGATGAGCGACAGACGCGTCAAATGTGCCTGACCTGCTGGCACTGAAAACAGACCGCCTCGCTCTGAGGACATGCACTTGCCATGTGCCCAGTAGATCCACACCGATAATAGGCTCCTCCTCATATTCGAGGTTCCTCTTCGTGTCGTAACTTGTAAACGGTTACTTTGTCGGTGTGCACGTTGTTACTGCTAGTGCCATGCATTTCGGAAGCATTTTTTATTGCGGCGTTCGACGCTGTGGCTTGTTCAACCGCTTTCTGGAATTCGAGCATCTTACCTTCATCCAAGAGCTCTCGTTGAATGTCAACGCGACATAATCCGCGAACAAAACACGGCAATGAAATCTGACCTGCTCCGATATGACGGACGGTTTAGGCTCCAGATGATCTTGCAACAACTTCGTCAGCTCTGCTACCGGCAACGCGGGAGCTATCAACGACTTAAGCAGATTATACGTCGTAGGTCTAATTAAGCTTAGGAAGGCATCAACCTTGCGGGCGTACGGCACACGGTTCACCTTGAGAACCCACATGAGTCTCTCTTTGTAAGGAGACATGGAACCCAATGAAGAGTCGAAATTCTCCACTTGCCCGATCTTGGCCACGGCTACCTTCTTGTCGTCTGCGTCGTTCAGCTCCAAGGTGGCTTCGGTCGCAGCCTCAGCAGGCCCATCGGTGTACTCTCGTAGCTCAGGTTCGTCGGCCGTCGGCTGACCATCTCTCGTCGCCACTTTATATTGTGTTTGTCAGCCTTGGATTGGCTTAGTTAATAAGAAAACGGTTTACTGAACATAAACTGTCGTATAACCCAGACGGCCGCGTTGCCATCTTAGTCTCAAACGAACAGTTTGCGCTTGAGGTCGCGCGTGCCAACGTTAGCATGCTCTGCTAAACACCAAAATATTCCTAAACTTATAGGTCTGGAAGAGGTCTATCTTCAGCAAATGGCTGCTAGTGCAGCAGGTCTGAGCACTTTGGCTAATACAAGGAGCTTATTAAGCGCAACGCAGATGAAACGAGGTAAGAATTGCCAGTTGATCGTTGTGCGAAAAATTCAATTAGAATTGCGCCGAGTCATTTTATGACGTCGCGGCTCGACCAACCAATTGACGTTCAGCGACAACGAGGGGCTGCATGTTTTGCGATTTTTTTCACGTTTAGTGTCGTTTTGAGGTCAAGTGATGATGATATTTAGATTCTCTAGGAAAGACTACGCCAAAAAAAAAGCATTGACTTATTTAAAAAACAAGTTTAATCTTTTTAAATGTTTGTTTGAGATGATTCCAGTAGATCTGAACATCCGTGGTACCATCACGTCATGTCACACCACGACGTAACAATGTGACGTCGCATTATATTGTGACATCATGTGACACATAATGTCACATGACACCATGACGTAATGCTACAACGTCATGTGACACGTATGGGGTTATCCCCGTCCAGCTTCCCCACCCCCGAGTGACACAACACCACTTTCCATATAAACATTTAATCACTCACATTGTTGAGTTCTCCGGCGGTCGCACCTCACGGTATCCAAACGTCCGTCCACTTTCACGTCCGTCGCACCACCCCTGCGTCCTCCCACCGACCCCTCGAGCCCCCGCCGGTCCTTCCCTCGCACCCCCTTTTCCCGGCGCCAGGCCGACGGGTGCCTTCCTCCCGACGTGGGTGTTCTCCCGGCTCCCCATCCACGCCGTCCAGGCCCTTGGGGGTCGGGCTCCTTTGAAGGGGGCCCGAGGACGTCCGCCGCCGCCACCAGCCGGCCACTATCAGCCTCGATCGGCTACCGAGGGTGCCGACGGCTCGCCCTTGAGCCGCCCTCGGCCGCCAGCGTCTGGTAGCAATCAGGCGGCGGCAGAGCGGGCCCCCACACCACCCCCCCCTCAATCCTCAGACCCCGACGCCGCCAAGAAAGAGTCCAGGTCAACGTCCATCAAGGACGGCGACGGCAGGGTCCGAGTGATAGGC